CAGCAACTCCGCCCCCATTGGCAATGGCAGCTGCTGACATCGTCTTGGCCATTAAGGAGGCTCTGGCTGAGATCTTCGAAGACACTTGGTCCATGTCCCCATCTGAAGAGCAGCAAACTGAGGCTCAGAGGGGAGACCTGAGCTGCTCAGGCTCACAAGTGAGTGACAGTACTGACCTGGCTTCCAGTGGCGGAGGTATCATGCTCATTCCTACGGAGTTCCCGCTAGCTCGCCCCACCCTGCCCACGAAACGCAGCACGGGCACCAGGGGAAGGTCACAGCATCTCCTCTTTATTTCCCATCCTTATCCGAACCATTCTCGGAGGAAGAGGGTACCTTTATTTTAGACCCCAGCCAGCCCCCAATAGATGACCCAGTCAAGCCCAGGAGGATGTTGGATGACATGGAGAGTCCAGCTGCCCCTGGGGAAGAAGAGAGGGTGAAACCACAGGGACACAGGGTGCCCTAGCAGCCAGGGAGGAGGGTCAGAGATCCCAGGGAACCTCGGGTGGCCAGAGGCCCCAGCATCCCACTCCTGCTCCCTCCTCTACTTCCTAAAACCTTAGGATGTCTGCTCTGGGGAGCGGCTGCCCCAAGAGGAGGCTTGAACTCTGGTGGTGAGTCCACCAGTGACAGGGCAGACCTTGTGAGAAACGGCAGGCACCGCACCTTCTAGACGAGGCTGGAGTCTAGAAGTTGGTGGGCGGGAGGGGGGACCAGCCCAGGTTTTGGAGGGTTGGGTGGGAAGGCATATCTGCTGGGTTGTACCCCTGGACCCACCCACCCCAAACCAAAAGAGGGGACAGCAGAGGGGAGACAAAGGACCAGGGACTGAGGACCAGGTGACTGGAGGGAGAGGACAGGCCCTCCCTCAGGATAGGCCTGGGCTGAATCCCATCCTGGCCCCGATCCCCACCTTCATCCCTCACTCTTGCTCAGGACACCTACCCACTGACTGTAGAGTGGCCACCAGGCCACCAGCAGCAACTCCGCCCCCATTGGCAATGGCAGCTGATGACATCATCTTGGCAGCTATGGAGGAGGCAGCGATGCCTGCGCTGGTGAAGCCCATGGCACCCAGCACCACGGGTACAGCACCCACGGCCACCACTGCGGGAAGAAGCGTTTGAGGTGGGCCCCATGGGACAGGCTCCTTCAGGTCTCCTGTCATCTTCCTGGGGCATGACCTTGGGGTCGGCTCTGCTCTTGTGAGAGTCACAGGGCAGGGACAGGCACTAAACACGAGGGAAGGCTGTAGGTGTGACACAGCTAGTGGACTGGATCCCAGGACTCTTCAGGCTTCTGTTTCGCTGACACCTGGGAGGCTCACAGCCCTCCTGGGCCCGAGTTGCCCTTGTGGAAACTAAATTAAGTCAAAATAAGCAGTGGCCTTTACGCTTCCCCTTTGGCAGGAAAAAGTGTTCCTCCCGCCTCCCCCAGCACAGGGTCAGCAGAAGACGACATCAGAGCTGCTCTTCGAAGAGGTGATGGGGTGGGGGCTCCTGCCCTCTGCCCCTCAGGGCCCTGCAGTGTGTGTGGGGTGCCCCCCTATCTTATATCTCCAGATCAGTGCAGTCACAGAACATTCAACAATGAACACGTTCTGTATCTGCTCCATCCAGTACTGAAGCCACATGGCTATTGAGCATCGAGGTGTGGCAAGTGTGACAGACGTTTCTATTTAATTCTGGCCCCTGTATTGGAGGACACTGCTCTGGAGCATAGTGAACCCCTGGGCTCATTGGAGGAGCTACCAGGGTGCCCAAAGCAGCTCCTGGGAACCGGACACAGCTCCGCTCCCACATTCCCAACACCCCTGCCTTCTGGGAGGAAGCCTGGGCTCAGACAGATGGAGTGGCTCGCCCAGGACCACAGGTGTACACTGGGAGAAGCTGAGCTGGGACTTGGGTGTGTTCATGGCTTCCCTTTGGTTCCTGCATTCTGAGATTCACCTCTGGGACTCCACCTCTGTCCCCTGCCCACTCACCCTTGCCCACCCACACCGTGGGGCTCCAGGGCATCCTGGGCTGGGTCACGGGAGGTGGCTCCCAGACGCCCAGGGCCAGATGGGGGCTTGACCTCCTTCCCAGAGAGACTCACCTCCTCCTGCCACGGCTGCACCAACCTTGACTGGAAACAAGAATGCATGTGAGTGCAGCACGCTGGCCTCCCCCTGCCCTTCCCGCTGCCGCCCACAGTGGCAAGGGGGCTCTGGAGCTGGGATCAGACGAGAGAGCAGCCCCTGCCTGTGCTCCCACAGATTGGAGTTACTGAGCATGAGGAGTGGGGAGGATGCCCAGAGCTCTGAGGGGCTCCAGACCAGGAAGGGCAACACCTTGAAAAGACTCCACCCGCTTTTAGGAGGGACACAATATAACCCCATCGCTGTCCCTCATTTATCCCATGTCTTCCGTGCCCTCCTCACCCATGTAGATTCCACACGTACCCACCACACGTGCCCCTTGCAGACCCTTAACTCTCTCCCCTCCTCTTCCTTTCTTGGGCTGCACTCCACCAAGTTTCCTGTTCTCTTCACTCCCCCACTCTGAGAACACCCAGAATTTACAACTTCTCCCCAATCTTCAAACCTGTACCTCCACCCTCCTGGTTCCCTACTTCCTATTTAACTCAGTAAATGAAGGCAACCAGAAGAGAGTTTCCGTAGACTCCCTTCCTTCACCAAGTCTGCCCCTCAGCCCTCTTGCCCTCCTGCTTCTGTGCTGAGCAGCTCAGGCTCCTGGCCACCTAGGCCCTGCTCTCTCCAACTCTAGCACGTGCTCCTTCAGTGCTCTCCCGTGCTCCTGCACCATCAACGTCTCCCTCTGTCCAGTACCTTTCCCAAGAGCATCCAACCAGGCTCTACCACCCGCCACCTGAGAAACAAAGGCATCCTCTCCCCCTGTACCACATCTTCTAGTTGCCACCTCACTTTGATGCTCTCCCTATAGCAAAGCTGCTTGAAATCATGTTCTACATTGAGAGGGAGGCAGCTGCACATGTTAGGCACCTGGACATAAGGCCATGTGAAGATGGAGACAAACTGGGGTGATGCATCCAGGATGTCTGGCAGCCACCAGAAGCGAGAAGAGGCATGGGACAGGTCCTCCCCTCGAGCCTTCAGAAGAAGCATGACCCTGTGGACACCCTGATTTGGGACTTCCAGCCTCCAGAACGGTGGGTGAGTCCATTTCTGTTGTTTTAAGCCACTTGGTGTGTTTATGATGGGCTAGGAGCATTTCCTCACCTGGCCTTCAGGAACCATCCTTTCTCACTTCTCTTCCTACCACACCTGCCTCCCCTTCCTTCCCCTCCTCACTCCTCTCCTTCATCTCTGATGGTGGCATGTCCAGGGCTCAGTCCTGAGACCTCTTCTCTGCTTTGGCTCCAGCCCTTGGGTTCCTCACCCAGCCCATGCCTTTCAAGACCACCTGCATTCTGATGGCATACAAATTGATATGTCCAGCCCAGACCTACTCCCAGAGCCCTCATGGTTGTGATTATGTAGTTCCCTTATAGAAGAGGCCCCAGAGAGCCCCTTCGTTCTTTCTCCATGTGAAGTTACAGCAAAATCTGAGCTAGTAATGGTTTTAGGACGTTCGTTGTCTAGGAAGTGGGCTCTCCCCAGACACTCATCTGATGCCTTGATCTTGGGCGTCCCACCCTCCAGAACTGTGAGAACTAAGTTTGTGTTGTTTATGAGCCAACAGTCTGGGGCATTTTGTTATAGCAACCCTAAGTGACTATGACAGCACACAACGAACAGAGTGGAAAGGCAATCTACAGAATGGGAGGAAATATTCCCAAATCATATATCTGATAAGGAGTTCATATTCAGAATATATAATGGATTCCTATGAAAACAAAATACACAACCCAATTAAAAAATGGGCAAAGAGTCCAGCTGGGTGGCTCAGCTGGTTGAGTGTCCTCCTGTACACCATCCTGCAGATTCAATTCCAGGTCAGGGCATGTACCTAGATTTTGGGTTCGATCCCCAGTTGGAGCATGTATGGGAGGCCTGTAGGGAGTGGCTATAGGGTTAAGCCTCGAATTGACCTGTGGCAGAGCCACAAACAAGTCCCAGCTTAGAGGGCACAGCTCTCCTAGCATATTTAAGCCTCACCTTATAGTGCTCCCTAGATCCTTCCAAGGTAGCTAATGGGCTGGGGGAGATGCAGCAAGTGCTGCCAAAACAAATGAAACTCACAAGAACATTGTAACTATGTTGACCACTACCTTGTTTATCTCTGACTATAAAATAAAGCCTCAGCTTGCTGGCTGGATCTTTTCTGTGTCCTCATCCAGGCACGGGAGATCCCCCAAGCCCCAGCTATATTCTCTTTGTCTGTCTTCTTTAATCCTTCACCACCCCTCCTCAGGTTCACCCTTGGCTGTGCAGGCACGGCACAGAGGCCACCAATCGATGTTTCCCCCACGTATGGAAAACAGTATGGAGGCTCCTCAAACAACTAAAATAGAGTTCCATATGATCCAGCAGTCCCACTTCTGGGTATTTGCCTAAGGACCTGAAAACAGGGTCTAGAAGAGATACCTGCACCCCATGTTCATAGTAGCATTATTTACAATATCCACAAGGTAAAAGCAATCCAAATATCCAAAGGTTGATGAATGGATAAACAAAATGTGGTATCTACATACCATGGAATATTGTTCAGTCTTAGAAAAGAAGGAAATTCTGACACATGGATGAACCTTGGGACATTTGCTAAGGGAAATAAGTGAATCACAGAAAGACAAATACTGTATGATTCCACTGTGGACAAATAAAAGGGGTTCTATGGCAAGTAACCTCACAGGGTGATCTGAACATACATTCCTAACTGGGCAGGTCATGGTGGATAGTGGCACCCCAGGCCTATAACTTCTTTAGTGAAAGGTTTTATGCCAGTCCTGTCCAGTGTTGTGGTGCATCTAGGTTAAAACACCTTTGAAATACCAGAATACCCCTGGAAAGGGTTTTAATCCATAAGAGAGCACATAATCCTGTTAACTTTCCTGTAACCCGATCCCCGTCCGGCTTTCTTCAATCTTCCTTATGTCCCCTCCTTAATTTCAAATGCACAAAAGAACCTGAAAAACTGGTACACTCAGGGAGGAGCACAGAGGAGAAATGAAACTTACCCAGGCCCTGGTGTGGTGGGACCAATAGGTCCCCTGGCAGTGGACTTTAACCGGCAAAGAGCCAGGCCTGAGCATGTACCAGGCTGATTAGAAGCTGAGCAGCAGACCTTTGTGATGAGCCAATGACAAAATCCTACCCTTGCACTTAGAAACAAACTGACCAAGGTTTACAGAGGGCATGTATCTGGCCTGGGGCCAAGCAACAAGTCAGTCACAGAGCCAGGACCTGCAGTGCAGTCCCCCTGACTCCAGAGCATCGCTGGCTTCATTGCCCACGTACACTGTGTCCCTTTTCTGGTGATCTGGGTGTAGTAGAGCTTCCCACCAGGGATGTGGGCCTCAATGCTGACAGCTGAGGTGGGGTGAGGCCTCAGTGCCCAGGGACCAGTTACCTGCAGTGCTGGAGAAATCCCTTTCTTTTTTTTTGGGCTGGTCTGTGGAATCGGGTCCTGGTGGTGGCCCCCCAGGAGTAGAACCAGCAGAGGATGGCTGGGAGGGGTCTTCCTCTTCCTCCTCTGGAAAAGAAGCAGAAAAAGAGGAAACTGAAGGCGGCAGAGGTGGGACCAAAGGCTGCTGCCCCAGGCCCCTGAGGAGGGCATGAGGCCCAGACACCCCACACAGCACCCTCCACCATTCCCAACAACTCCGATGTGGGGAGGGGTTCTCTGTGGCAGCTGTGCTGACAGGTGATGGGAATGCTTGGAGATGAGCCCAAGCAGGAGCCAGAGTGAAGCATCCATCTTATATAAAAACTGCTGTGTGAAATTTTAACGCTGCATTTTGGTTTCTGTAAATGCTTGCAGGCTTAAATAATAGGGAAAATAAGACTACTCCCATTTCAGAGAGGCCATTAAACCTTCCCCAGAAGAAGTTATCAGTGCTGGCACCAGGCCAAGCCTTTGGTTGAGGTCTCAAAGCCCCAGAATGTAGGGGCTCTTTAAGAACTTGGAAAGGGGACCGGAAAACCCCATTTGGGAGACAAGAGGGTAAAATGGTATAAATACAGGAAACGTCCTGTGTGACTTTGCCCAGAATTTGAGAGACATTTTCCTCTGGGCCCGCACATAATAATAATAATAATAATAAAAAATGTAACTCCATCTCTCTAAGCGTTGCTTGGTTCTTCTCCGGTTTTCTGTAACAAGAGGGAGACCTGGCCACCAACAGAGCTGGCAGGTCTCTCACTTCACAGAGGGGCAGGCTGGGGCCCAGGAGGGAAGAGATTTGCTCACACCCACTCTGCTCTGGGCCATGCACCCCAAGCCCTGGGTCACCTCACCCTCCAGAGCATCCCCAGGGCACTCACCATCCCACTGAGACTCCTGCAGGAGGGCATCAGCCACAAATGCTTCTCCGTTCTCTATGGCTTTATCTGACATCTTGGTTGCAGTGTGGGAACACAAGGTGCACAGCCTTCTGTCGCACAGAAACAGAGCGTGAGACCCCAAGTGCTGTGCCTGACTTGTAATGGACTGGGGTGTGGATGTGGGCACCTTTCTATTGCCCTGAGCCCTGCCCTCTGTTCTACAGCAGTCTATGGGCCACTTCCAGCACATCCCTCAAATCTGCACAGACATCAGCTTTTTAAGTTAATGACTTGGCTTGGCTCCCTGATCGCTAGGGTTCTATTCATCATTGTCCACTAACCACTGCCCCCTACCCAGTCTAACTCTTAGGGCTTGAGAGTAACCTGGATTGGAACAAGACCGGTTGCTCCCAAAGTCTCAGGGTAAATGTGGGCTCAAACCCCTTCCCAGCACAGTCACCTCTGAGCACAGCCACAGCAGCCCTGGATGGCAGCAAAGAGCCTGTTGCTCCCTCCCCTTCCCCACTTCCCAGACCCTGCCTACCTTGGGAAGTAATTGCCTGAGAAGGCAGAGCAGAGGTGGAAGTCCTGTGTGTACTGAGGCTTTCGAGGACTCTCACAGGCTAAATATAGTCACCTTCCTGGATGATTTAAAACCTCGCGAGACAAGTGAACCAGGTGACTCATTCTTATCTTAGAGCCAGGTAGACCTGAACTTTGCCTTGCTAATGAGAAGATGTGGGGAGTGTGGGCAGGTCCTCAGGATAATCTAATTCCAACACATCACAGTGTCCCAGGCCTGATACTCAGCTTCTCTCATCACCTGGTGGTGGCTGCCTGGTTTGCAGGGCAACAGGGGAAAGTTTGTCTTAAATCAGGAGCAATGTCCACATAAACCAAAGCAAATCTGGAACCCTCCCTGGAAGGGAGGGAGCCAATATAATCAATTTGCTAATCTTTCACTGGTTGGGAATGGTGGTGGTGGCCCCCGATCCTTGGTAGTAGTAGAATACACAGGACAAGCTGCTGCTGCATTAATCCAAGCTCTCCACTCTCACACTGCACTCGCGGTAGCGAATCAAACGGCGTCGTCCTCCATGGGGGCGGGACTTCCTGCCGCAGAGGTCCAACGTGCGTGAGTGTAAGCTCCGCCCCGGAACTGCGGACGGCGCCACAGCTTCCCGCGGCGTCTTCTGAGGAGGAGGGCC